ATAACAGACCAACAAGCTGTGGATCTGGTTCGTTACCATGACGACGCGCAAAAGGCGAGTGAGGCTCTTGTGGATTTTGCGCTCACGAACGATTATCTGTTGAGTCGAGATAATGTTACGGTGATGGTTGTACGTTTCACGGGTCCGCCAAAGGTGTGACTCCTGTATTCCGTGTATTGTTTTCTTGTTATCCTTTCTGCGGGTATCGGGCTGGATGTAGTTGTACTTGTGATAGGGCTTGGATATCTGTACATATTACTTTGTGTTGTAACACTATAAACCTGTGCCATAGTGGTCTTTTGAAGTGGTCTTTTGCATGCTTGGAGCCATCTTATTGTTCCGGTCTCAATAAAATGACCGTGGGCGTCATAGGTGATTCTTAACTTGTACAACCATCATCTCCTGAATCTTTTCTTCCAAGACTCCACAAGCCTTAAAGCTAAGCATTTACATGCCTGGAATTGATATGGGCGACGACGGGACGGAAGTCAGCCAATGTATGTCGTGCTTGTTGACTCAGCCCCATTTATTGAATTTGACCATCTCGTTCCGTAGCCCCCAATTCCGGCGTAACTACGATCTCAACAGCGTAAGCATCCTTCGACCTTATCTTTTCTTCAACCGGTTCGGTTCCAGACTCATTTCTGATATTCTACGAACTCAGGCCATCATCAAGTTCTCCTACTCAGACTATGCGTCGTCTTCCTTTTACCGACTCTCCTAATGCACGCTCCAAGTCTATCACTACAACAGACCTGGATACCCACGGAGTCAGTCATCTTTATCTGTGATCAGTAAATCAGTTCTCAACGCAACGTAGATCCTCAATCGACATGCCACGAAGAACACCTCTTATCAAGTCGGTGTGTCTGAGGACAAGGGTACCAGGCGTACCATGGAAGATGCACACTCGTTCGTAGTCGATTTTGACAACGTTCGCGGCCAAGGTTTCTTCGCCGTCTTCGATGGACATGCGGGTAAACATGCAGCGGAATGGTGTGGCAGTAATTTTCATGAGGTGCGTCATCGTGCCTGACTTTCTTCATGATACCTCTTTTAACAGTGACACGTAGTCTCTCCTTACTTGCCTCCGAGAAGCTTCACCCGACAAGAGCATCCCAGATGTGCTCAATGATACATATCAGGCAGTAGATGTGCAACTGTCCAAGATGTCAGATGAGTCAGATGGCAAGATGCATTCGGGGTGTACGGTTGTCACGGCCTTCTTGCGTATCGAAGACGCTAATGGCAAACAGTCGTTTTTGGACGGTACTTCCACACCCGAGTCACCGAAATCGTTTCGTAGCAAGAACACCATCGATACCGAGGAGAATCTGGAGAACTCCACCGACGGTCTCGATGTGGGATCGGGAGATGATTTGAGCAAGAGTGGAAAGAAGGAGAAGAAATCGAGCAGTAATCGAATCAAGAACGCGCTCAAGAGTCTCGGCGCTAGTTCGATATCGAGCGCAATATCATCCAAGTCCAGCTCACCGACGCTTTCGCGTAAATCATCGGGGGAGTTGAAGCCCGCTCGTGTTCCGCCGCCCAACTCCAGGAGAGTGTTGTATTGCGCAAATGCGGGAGATGCCAGAGGAGTTTTGAGCCGCAAAGGCAGAGCCGTGCGGTTGACATATGACCATAAAGGGTCGGATAAACAGGAAGCGAAGCGCATAACGGACGCTGGAGGCTTTGTGATGAGCGGCAGAGTTAACGGTGTTCTGGCTGTGACAAGGAGTCTCGGAGATTCCTCCATGAAGGATTTTGTTGTTGGAGCACCGTTCACAACAGAGACAGAGTTGTGTGACGACGACGAGTGCTTGATCTTGGCTTGTGATGGGGTACGTACTCAACGTCCCGTTTATCCAGTCTTTCTTAACTCTAGTTTTAGCTTTGGGACGTTATTAACGACCAAGCCGCCGTGGACCTCGTGCGTGACATTGAAGACGCCCAACTCGCGAGCCAAAAGCTGCTGAAATACGCGCTTTCTCACCATACAACCGACAATGTCACTGTTGTCGTAGTACGCTTTAAAAAGCCCCGTTCGCCTTGAAAGTTGGTTGCCGTCTGGTTCTTTTACTTTTGGGCATGATGCAGCTTAATAACACGGACACGCTTTTGAAAAGTAAATGTTGCTAAACGTGGGATGTCGGCGTATATTATTGTAACAACACTTGCCATATATTTACCATACGCACATATTTACTTACCGAACGGTGGAATAAATTCTTGACGATCCTCTGATGAACTGCCGCTGATGAATTTCTTCGCTAAACTGGTCCGCAGCACTGCTTGCATCTGTTGGCACTGCATGACGCCTGTAAGCCGAAGTGCTGTGCCGAGGAATTGACGCACAGACCAGGCGTGTTGGACTTGCATCGGCTGATTCGCAAGTTGATTTCTTGACTCACGACCTTCTCTTGGCCCTCATCATTCTTGGCTTATAAACTGACGACGACCTGCACGCCTTTCCCTCTCACTCTCATCCATGTCTGGTTGGAATAGGTTACCAAACCAATGGGGTTCTCAACCTCCTCAGGGGTACCAGAATGCCCCATACCCTGGGCCTACACCAGCGTATGGTCAAACTTATGCTCCTCCACCGCAGGAAAGCTATGGTGGTTATGGAGGGGATGGAAAGGACCCGTACGCAAATGATAGGTTCAAACCAAAGAAAAGCATCAATGATCCTATCTTCTTGGGTCTGTTTATTCTTCAAGTACGTCTACCTGCAAATTCATGTGCGACACAATGCTGATGTGGTGCCCACTCCCAAGTTTTTGGGTTTTGCTGCCTTGTCCGGTATCGCAATTAATTCTTGGGTCAAAAGTGGTGGACTCGGAGGTGGAGTTGGTAAAGGCCGCTCTGGAACTGCAGTCACTTTGAACGCGTAAGTTGTCAAGAAATTCAGTGGGTGTGGAAGCTGATGTCTTCTTTTGCAGGAGCACCGTTTACTTGCTTCTCCTGGTCACTGCCGCCGCACTTTTATTATCGACAGCCTACCTCATGCTTACTCGGGCATTCACGAAGATGATTATGCATATCACACTTATCTTGTCCATTATTCTGAACATGTGCGTGTCTGTGACCTTGTTCTTTGTTCCTTAGCTGATACCATCTTACAGAGCTATATGCATTTACTATTGGATCACCAAATATTACTGTGAGTCCCGCAACTGCGCCGGACTGCCAACCAAGCTAACATACCTTGCAGCTGGTGCAATCATCTTTACTATTATTGCACTCTTCTCTGTGTTGTCGTACTGGGGATTCAAGTCTCGAATTCCGTTGGCATCTCTATTACTTCAAGTCGTCATGGATGTCTCGAAGCACCACAAGAGCGTCTATGTCGTTGCATTTACGTCCCTTATCCTTCAAGCAGCCCTTTCAGTGTACGCCTATTTTTCCTGTCAGTCTCACATGACCTCATCCATTACGCCTGTAGTTGGTATGTCTTCACGTCAATCGCGATGTAAGTCCGCTAGCGCCTTTTAGGCATGCATTTTTCGAATAATCTGGAACCTTCTTAGCTATTCGAAGTGGACGCCAAACAGTCCAAGTGAGTCTTTTGCCAAGTGTCTTGTTGCAGATGTGAAAACTGATGCCTTGTAGGCTGTTCGGCTGGTGGATGCTCTTCAGGCAAGGTTGCAGGATTAATCTTCTTTGCGACCTTTTCGTACCTTTGGACTTCGCAGGTCATCGGTAACGTGGCTCTCGCCACTCTTGCTGGTGGGCCTTACGGAGCGTGGTACTACTTTGGTCCCCGTTCAGCTGGTGAAATGGTAAGTAGCCATTGACCGCAGGTATACGCATGCTGATGTCTACTGAAGCCCGACCATCCTACAATATCAGCATTCGCCCGCGCATCGACTTACTCTTTAGGTTCTATTGCATTTGGATCTCTCATCGTCACTATTTTGGAATTGATTAAGATGATCTTGAATGCAATCCAACATAGCGCGAACGCCGATGGACATCGTAAGCGATCAATCTTCTCAAGAACGACATTATCACTCATGACTTGAACAGCTGTGGAAGCCTGTCTGGCGTGCTGTGCTGCGTGTATCATAGGATGCATCCAGAGCGCTGTTGAATACTTCAACAGGTAAGCTGTTCGTTCGGCTCTTAAACGGTCGACCGGAAAATGACACCTTTTTCGAGATATGCATATATTGAAATTGGTATGGGACTTCGTATCGTGATTTGTACACGACTGATAGTTGTTCATCAGCGCTGTACGGGAAGCCATATATCGAAGCTGCAAAGGATACCTGGAGGCTGTTCAAAGATCGTGGCATTGATGCGCTGGTCAACGATTCTTTGGTTGGAATGAGTATGTCCCATCTTTCTTCGTAAAGATGTGATAGCTGATATCCCATAGCCATGACATGGGGTGCATATGCTGTTGGCATGTTCTGCTCCCTGTTTGCGTACCTATACCTTCGATGTGAGTGTATCATCTATGTCAACGCAACATATTTTGACCGTTCCTTGTTATAGACACTGCTCCCGCATACAATGCGAATGGGCAGTACACCGCTCCAGTGATTTTGTTCGCCTTCTTGATTGGTCTAACCTGCTGTAGGTGTTTTGATTTATTCTGGCTCCACGGGTTCTCACCCTTCCTCCTAGCTTTGACCATGACATCGGCAATCGAAGCCGGCGTTTCGACGATGTAAGTTGTATATCTGGCGTATGGTTCAAACTCTGCTCACCGCTTTTCGCAGCTTCGTTGGTTTGGGAGAAGACCCTCAGGTGCTTGCCATTCGTGCCCCGGAACTGTTCAATGTACGTGTTTGCTCTGTTTTGTGAAGCAGCGACTATGATCTCAATTATTCATAGATGATTGCGGATACTTATCCAGACGTTGTGCAAGGAGTACCCCGACCGTAGTTTGACGTATGATAGTTGTTAGCGTTGTAATTTATGAACTTCGGCAGTTCATGCAGATACACCATCCATTGACTGGGTATATTCAGGTGTTTAATGCATATTAGCAAGTCCTCATCGATTAGTGGTTAGATCATCACGTTGTGGAACTGGCCTCGGGCCGCTTTCATGAGCACCGTGGGGACGGGAGCTCGAATCTCCCTGGGGACACTTTTTTCTTGCTTTTGTTCCAAGGCCAAACACGGCACTTTCGGTTTTGTAACTACGATTACAAAAGTACAATACAATATTCAGTCCAACATCTAGCATTCTCCCAACAATCTGTTCTTGGGGAATGGCTGCTTAAAGTCGTCCCGCCATGTGGTCAAATTTGGGTTCTGATATGACTCCAGATATTGTTCAATGTACGCTTTGGTTGGGAAGTCCTTTGGATCACATCCGATGTTTATTGAGCCCTCCTGTTGATAGACCCGGACATAGTCCACCGTCATGTATGCCGGGAACGTCAAGTGCTCAAAATCGACTGGTCCAAAGTTTCGAGACATCCCAAGGTTCATAATGATGTACTAGGTGGCTCGTCAGCTTCATGTGGGTGAACTATAGTAAGAACGGGACATACCATTGGTTCCTGAGGAACAGGCCGTGCAGATATCTGCACAGCTTCGTCAGGCCCTACTCCGTTGGCGTTGAGCGTCCAGGCGATCTTGTTGTCTGCTATCCAAGTGATATACTTTTGAAGGGTTGAGCTTATGAAGAGATGGCGTGACGAAAGTTTGCTTACCGCATCGTCGTATCCTTGAAGGAGATTGCGGTTTGTGAGCGGTATAACCAGAGATTAAAGATGCAAAAAGTACCTGGCTTATACTGCTCGATATTAGATTAATCCAAGTGCTTGCGAGGTCTTTGCTTACCTCGAATCCGTATATTGAGAAGCATCCTTCTTCAAGCTGGTAGCATTCAGGGTTTGTATTTGTGACGACAGATGTCGCTTGTTGTAAGACGTTCCCTTTAAACCCGTTCAGCTGGGATATCGCTGGATCAGTAATGTTCAGGTTGTCCGAAGTAGTATTCCAATCATAAGCCCGGTTAAAGGGCTGCAAAGTATTGTTCAAAAAGGCCCAATCATGGAGGTACAGATGACTCACAGCCCACTGGCCCGATTGAGAGACTTGCGCAATAAAGGTGTTCTCGTTTATTTGAGCCTCATACACATCGATCTCAGGGCTTGAGCGACCGACGTATGTGCCATCTGGATGCCTAATGAATATGAGTTAATTGTAGGCATCATGCTGTCATGATACTTACATCGGGCCAGGATGGCTTTCACCAGGGCAAGTACATCTAGACGTGATCCTTTGAGAAACATGACGTTCAACTTGCGACATGCTTACCTCGAAAGTCTCTGTCCAGGCAGGAAACTCAAGAAACCACCCTTTCCTTCATCACCATCAACTGTTGCTGCCTTGGGTTCCCCATTGAGTGTCTGGTTCGCAAGAGTGCCGACATCACAAGCATCTAGCTCACATCGTGAGTGATCAGCTCTTCATTAACATTTGGAAGCTTACCATATGTATATGGCCACATTCCTTGAGGTGACGTGGCTGAGCTCTGAGTGGAACCGAGAGCTTCCAAACTCACCTTCAAGCGAAGCACCGTAACAGGCACGCCCAAGGTTTCCCATGGTCCAGATCGCAGGCCATAAACCGAGGACATTATTAGCACCGGGAAGAATTACTGAAGTTTCGATAAGACCGCCGGTGAAACAAAATTTGTTCCTGGTTCAGAGTGTCAGACTACCTCTCAACTCGATCAGAATGAAGGTTGTAACCATGTAGACATTAGGCCTGTGCCACTGGTCAGTGCATCCGAAGAGGTCTACAACGCGTTACGCACCTCCTTGGTAATGTAAGTCGTGTGTTTCCTTCCGTGAAAGAGTGATAACCAGCGATCCGTTCCTCGTCTATTGCATTCGATGATCATGATGTGCGAACAAGCAGGATATTTTTCATACCGTTATCGCTTCAGGATCATACCATTCGAGATTATTCGTGCCCTAAGCGTAATCACATCAGAATGAAGGAATGGAAAGCAGAATATCAATGGGACAGACCCAATAGTGGAGATCAACGGCCTCCCAGTATGCGTCGTCTCCAGGGTAGAATGTCCGCCCATCTCTGTTAAATTCGTCAGAGAAGACCAGCTGCATACGCTTGGAAGGGTCCCGCCATCCTGGCTTCGTATACGCTTCTGATGGTGTGTCCAGGTCAATAAGACCATGGTTGCCGATATCAGGAACCTGCGTGGGTCATTGTTGAGTGGCACGAATACAAACACGGCGCAACGACACACACCTGACCCGACGCGTTCAAACCGCCCAGGTTGAAGCCCCCTTGAGTCGAAACAAAATGAATTTGAAACGTTGCACTAATGAATAGTAAGTGATAGGACATAGAGCGACGAATTCGATTTACTCACATGGGATATCCAATGAAGAGCCCCAGAATGCATATAATCAAGATGAAAAGACACCCGAGGTTTGAAATTGCCCTTTTTGAGATGTGAGCACTACCAGCGTGCATATCATGTGCCGGGGCGTATACGTAGTCGTCAGGCTCAGGAACGTCAACAGAGAGATTGGAACCCCATTTTCGAGGATCAACGTCCAGCGAATACTATAGTACAAGCTAGTGAGCGAAAAACATGACTGAATGCATGCTGCGCACCTTTTCTGAAAGCGAACCAAACTGTGAACGACGACCTCTAGTGCTCCTGAGCGTATCCGGATACGGTGAGTCTGTAACGATCGACTGAAGAAGACCGTTAACTGCGTAATTCGGCCCTAAGACAAACTGTGAGTCACTCACAATGGTCCCCCACTCAGACGCAGACCGTTGATGCTGCATCTGGGGTGTAAAGCAGAGTTGAAAAGAGTGTGAGAGCGTGCTGAGGCCTCAGCTCTGCCAGTGACAAAAGGAGAGTTGCTGGCCGAGGTTCCTGGACATTTTGGAGACTAAAAGAAGCAACGAAAGCCATCGTGCTTTGATTGAATTACGGGTTGCCACAGCATCATCATCCTTGTCACGGAAACTACGTTTCTGCCCGATCCGCCTTTGCCTGAAGTCAACCTAAAGTGGTACGTTCTGGATAGCTCTGTAAGGTGATTCCGAATCGTTCAGACGAGAGAATAGAGTCCACAAAGGTTCTGAAGAATCACGAAGGTTTTGGGTTGAATGTTCGTCTGTGGAGACAGTTGTCGGGCAAGCGCGTGCCGGTCCATATTGATGTGAATTTCTGTGAATTGTGCATCCTTACATACGTCCACATTACGTCGCACCAGTTGTGAGGACAAGTATTTGTCGTCAAGCACCTGTGAACACGAGGGGGTAGAAGTCACCCAGCCAGGCTCTAACCTAGTAACTTTGAGAAGCAAGTGGAATCAGGGATGTTGGTGGTACAAGTTCAAGTCCAAAATTTACACTGCCACATAGTAGTCTTTTTTAATCAGGTGCAAATCAAGTGTACTACATAGCTATCCCAAGAGATATGTACACTGTTAGCACAGACACGGCAAATGTAGCGTAATAATGGAACAGCTCTGCCCATCCGGTGTGTCGTTCCCTGTTTGTAGGTAGACATCGTAAATCTCCGCGCTATCGGTCGCACACGCGAGAAAATTGAGTTGCCTGGGACTCGTTGTGATTATCGTATCTCCTTCGAGACCCCAGTCAGTTGTGGAAGCCGTTTCCTCAAAGGCGAGGGCCTGGTACGATGTCGAGCCACCCGAGTCGACGTTCAGGTAGAGGGGGGTGCTCGAGTCGGTTATGGAAATGGTTCCATCGATGTCAAAGTAGCCAGAGGATGACTCAGGCCCCAGAACTGCCTTCCCATCTGGGGAAGATGAGTTTGACACTTGCAGAGAAAAAGTATTAGACTTGCCGTTGTTCTGTAAATAGAAATGGAATACAGGATCTTGAACGGCGCGAATTTGCGAGCCTGCTACGGCTGCGCTGGTCGTTGTTTTGGAGGGTAATACTGTTCCATTGGTTGTAGAGGATTTGGAGGGCAGGGCACTGGCAAGCCCAGAAAGCAGGGAGATTGCAATAACCGTGTCGATGAAAATCATGACGACTCTGTAGGGGTTGGGCAATAATCAGCGTTCCATTTATATGAATCGGTAGTATGTCGCGCCTAGGATTAAAATCGGGCATTCAAGCTCCACTCCTGAGAAGTTCATGTGATGGGCTTTTGAAGGTTCAGGCATCGAAGTTGAATGCTTTTAGGTCTTCAGCGACTTCTGTCTTCGCCGAGCACGATCCGTAGACAATCAAGTAGTTCTTCAAGGTGGTAGTATTCAACGGCACGATACATTCAGTGCTGAGTTGTCGGCGAATCGAGTTATCTGTGCGGCGAAGTTTTAGAAAGGTCAATTGAGCCTTTTGCTCCCTGTCATTTCTTGACTGGTACAGTGAGAAGAAATATACACGTACGGACCTTGAAGCTCACCAGGTCAAAATTTCATGCATTAAGAGCACTCCAAATACGAAAACAAAGCAAGAGGAAGGAGCGAGGGCACGCAAATTCATTGGTATAAATTCCCGCTACGTTAGTAGAGGGTTATGGGGTGCAAACTCAGAACGACCTTTTACGTAATCTTATGTCAGCATTGGTCAGCGTTTAGTAAGCACGCGAATTCCCATTGCCATCTTCTCTCCAACGTTGTCGGACTCGTTCTGTTAATTTGATCCTTTCTGACAAGTTACACGGGAATTCGAACATCTTTCAAGAACATCAGACTTCACCAGCACGGCCCCACACGTTCGAACTCAGTTTCTCCACTTGCAACATTCGGATTCTCTTGACGTTCGTTCGCATAACGCGCCTGCGAGGAGCCAGCAGAATGCTGGCGACGAACAGGCAAGCCGGGACATGACCCTTTTATCTCAAATTGGTACTTTCAATCCTCACCGGCCTCACCTCTCGCATAAAACTAGTTAAACTACTAGTTACCGAACCTCTAGGTTTGGCTCCTTTCGGGAATGCTGCGGCCCAGTCTGATGTACGCTGCCAGTGGGCCTGCTCCTCGCAGGCCCACTTAGCCGTGTTTTGGAGGAACTGGAAGGAAAACAGGTTCAGCCCTCGCCGCTCGCGGCCATCCCCCTCAGTCATGGAAACCAGGTAGACTTATCGCATCATCAATGTGATTAGAGTAC